ATCAAGGCAGGACTTTAAACAGCAATCTAGTTGGCTCTGGTTGTGCAGCTCTACGTGAACTTCAGGAATAACTTGTCGTCTTTCTTTCAGCGGGTTGAGGGAGCGGTGAGAATGATTTATATCTGTGATTATGCAGCGTTTCCATCTCAACTCGCTGCCCAGCGTGTGGCGCTGTCTGCCCTGTAAAGTTCATGTCTGTGTTCCCGGTTGGTCGGAGCGTTAGCGGCTAACGAACCTCATCATGCAGGTTCAGCCCGGTGAGGAGCTTCAGCGCTCTCCTCGGTCACACTTCATGCTGGTTTTATATTATTCTATTTTTAGTATTATTGTTAGTATGCAGCAAACCGTATCGATGCTTTGTCCACTTAGTCAATCAGAGTTAATGAGCGGAGATCTGAGAAGCTCCTCCGATAAACTGGACCGACCAAAACAGTTTCTGTGATTCTTATTAAAACTCAACAGACAGAAATGTCAGAGCTGCTAGAGCCACATTAGCAGCATTGAATTAAATCTCCTGTTTGTTGCTCATCTCTGCTCAGTGCAGCAGGTTTAACTCATCCTGCAGGGCCGATCCAAGGCTGATGAGGCCTGGGGCAGAATCTGACTGAGGGGCCCCTCTAGCTGCTAAAACATCAGCAGCTCTAACAGCTTCTGTGTTTAACTGTGTGTAGTTTATTTGGCCAACCTAAAAACAATCAGTTATAATCCAGTTTATTAATTTGTATTTGTGAACAAACAGCTCAAACTCAAAGATTAAACTCACAGCATCAGATTGTTGCTATGGTAACAAAACAATAACTATGAATATTGTTCTTTGAACTTGTACAAAGTAAACTTGGCAGCTCCTTAAAATCTTACATTTAAAGGTTAAACAATTTAAAATATTTTATCTTATGTATGCTGAAACCGTTAAATCAAATTTAGCAGCATTGATCATCTCAGTAAACAAATGTTACATTTATGCATCTGTTAAAATATCAGCATTTATGGCCCCTGAAGCCCTGGGGGCCCGATGGAGCCGCTGACTTTTTATTTGTTGTTTTTAAGACTAGTTGTGGGTTTAAGTAATGTTTCACTGGCAATGTTTTCCCGTAACATATAATTACACAGTAATATTTTAAAATTTCCTGTCACCTTAACATCTTTTAATACAAAAACACGGTGGACCGCTGGCTGTGCTGTGGTGGCCAGGGGTTCAGCACAACCCACATATGGAGGCCTTAATCCTCGACGTGGCGGTCACAGGTTCGATTCCCGGCCTGGTGACCTTTGCTTCCTGTCTTCCCCTTCTCTCGTTACCCAGTTTCCTGTAAATTAACTATCAAATAACGGCCACTAGAGCCAATAAAACCTTTAAAAAAAAACACGGTGGACCGCCTCGGCACCCCGACCACCGGGCTGAGCAAGTTTTCTGGGGGGAAATCCTGATATTTATAAATTTACTGGAAAAGTTGAATTGGGACAAGTAAGAATGAGCAGTCTGCAGTGTTGAACGCTTTCTGTGCGTCTGTTCCCAGTATAATTGCTTGTTCTTCTTGATGTGGTTGATCACGTTTAGGGTTCTTCTGATATTGTCTCTGGTTCGTCTGTTCTTTATGAACCTTGTCTAGTCTAAATTTATTATATCTGGGAGGATAAGCTCCAATCTTTTGGCTAATATGGATGTAAAGATTTTATAATCTTGATGAAGTAGACTGATTGGGTGGTAATTTGAACAGTTTAGTTTGTCTTTACCT